AAGAAGGCCCCTCTTTCCAGTAAGTGCAATTATAACTGCACAATTATCAGTAATATGCTTCTTGATGACCCCTAGATTAAGGGCCATTTACTCCTCTGTGTTTCTGTCCTTAAGAAAAACCTCTTTGCTCAAATCCCGCCCCCTCCCCCCATACTTGATTATTTCCCTTTCCTACCTTGATTGGTGAGATAGAAGATTCTTATGGAGATGTTGAATATTTCTGCCACTTATTTGTTCAACAGAGACTTAATGAACATTTCCTAAGGGCTAGGGCTTCTGGTTCATATGGGAGATGTAGCTGAGTATGCAACACACATACCCTCATTGGGGCTGGCTATGTGGCCATCATAAAAGGTCCGTAATGCCATGGGAAAGTATACAAGGAATGCATAAAAGGAGTGCTGGACTTAATATAGGGGTAGAAATGGATTGAAAAGTGTCCCTAGAGAAAGTAACATTGAACCTCAACCCCCAGGATCAACAGGAATTAGCCAAGGGGGGATAAAACCTGCACAGATGCCCAGATTCAAGAACACTGTTGAGCGTGGAGAGAGAAATTCAGTAGTGCCTGTGAACTCTTTGCAGAAGCACAGACTTCATTCTACAGGTGATGGGGAGCAAGAAGAACCGACAGTCAGCGGGTAAATGTAAATGTTCACATCTTCGTTTTCAGAAGATCCCTCCACCGAGAAATCCATTTTAAGAAATTTGGCTGAGAGCTAGGGCTGCTGGTTCCTTTGAACACCTCCTAGTTCAGTTCTGTATGGGACAGTTTTGTGGTGAAGGACTCGGGAAGAAGCACCTTTGGCATCCTGAAGGCACGGTGCTGATGGCTATTGTCCCATCCCTGTAGCAGTTTTTGTTTTGCCCTTTAAATTCTTGTTTTTCTGTCTCCACTTTCCTGGGAGTTCTCTCTGTTTTCTCCGTAGTTCCTCGTCACTTTCCATGTAATTCAGGCATCTTCCTGGAGCTGCTGTGGGTTTGCGGTTGCCTAGAGAACCACAGCAACAAGGCCCTGAACTCCCCACCCACCCCAGGGAGCCCTTATATCAAAAAGTTAGCTTCAAAGCCTAGTTGGAAGTAGTCGATATGAAGCAAAAAGTCAACAAACATTTCCCTGGAGTCTTGGCACCAGAAGGTCTTTTTCTTTTTCCTTTTGCTCAATTCCCAGCTGGTTAGCAGCCTGAACTTCTGCCTACTCATCCGATCCCCATGGCAGCTACCAACTGGGCTGTAGTAGTGCCTGTTGTGGTAGGATGTGATCCTCCCCCCATCCAGGAGCCCTTTCCTTTTCTGACAGCAGGCCAGTCTCCTTTTAAAATGAACTGGTTTAGGTTCACCCCATCCAGGAGCCCTTTCCTTTTCTGACAGCAGGCCAGTCTCCTTTCAAAATGAACTGGTTTAGGTGCCTAACACACCCACATTCTGGTTTGAGCTGCTGTGATTGCTGGCTGTGTCATCTCAGGAAACTTATTCCACCACCTTGGGCTCGGGTTTCCTTGTTTATAAAATGGGAATGATAGTCCCTGTTCTGCCTACTTCACAGGGTTATTTTGGAGAGGAGAAAATGACTCTACAGATTATTCAACCATTTACAAAACAGTTATTGAGTTATTGATTACTCAGCCGTGTGCCAGCTGTTGGGGGATGAAAGCCCTTGTTAAACTGTAGCGTGCTACACAAATATGACATTCTCAGATGCAAATAATTCACTACCGACTGGGTCAGATTGGGTGTGTTTGTTCTGCTTCCCTCACCTGTCTTGCCCCCAGGTAGAAGCAACCACTAGCTACCCGAGTACTGCCCGCCCATACGCATTCAAGGCAAAGCTTTAGTAAGAGAGTAATAAATAGAAGATATCAGCTAGCAATCGAAAGATCTGTGGTGGCTGGGTTGTGTTTGGAAGCTTAATTAAGTCCTGCACCAGATGCTGTAAGAGGATAGTCAGCCATATTTTCCCTATTGCTCCAGCACTGAGAAGAAGGGCCCAAACAATGGACAAAGAGGAGTTAGTCCCTTATTCCAAAAAGAGTTTTCAACAGTTGGGGCCAGGACATCCCTCTCCCCACAAATCCTCAGGGCTTCCTAAAAGTCAAAACTGGCCTTCCACTGTGGGCCTTTCAGCTTCCTCCATCCTCCCCTCCAGGCTACGTAATAGAAGTCTAGGAGAGGAGAGGAAAGGAGAGTCATTACAGGGTCATCTTTGTTGGGAGTGAAGTGCTCATGAGAAGGTGTGTAAGGGTTAGGGTCCCAGTGGGAAACAGATGGGACCTCACATTAGAACAATCTAGGGAACGTTTATCTACAGAGAGGAACCACAGAGGCTGGTCAAGCAGGGGTAGTAGCAGCAGAGCTCTCACCACTTCTAGGCACAAAGAAATGAGGGGAAGGAACTGAAACCAGAACCCAGATGGAGAGAACCCTCTTTAGACCAATCAGAAATCTTTTTCAGTGGTTGGCCAGGGTATTGATGAGCCCCATATAAAAGTGACAAGAGTATTGGAGAGAAAGGTGAAAACATGAGAGCTATTTGGAAGGCAGACTTCACGAGGCTTGCAGATGGAATGGATTGTGAAGGAAGAAGGAGAGCGAGGAAAGGGAAACTTACAGGTTTCAGGCTTGGGCAACTGGGTGATTGATGGTGCTGTTAATTCTAATTGGGAATGCAGGATGGAGGTTGGGAGGGTTGGAGGATCTATGTTCAGTCTGGAACCTGAAGGTTGAGATGACTGTAAAGCATCTAGATGGAGGTGTCCAGTATTCAGTTGGATATGGCATCTGAGGCTCAGAAAAGAGACCCCAGCCAGAAATACAAAATTATACTATATGTGAACAATTATAATTAAATTTATTAAAGGCTGCTAAGTAACATGTACATGAGGCTGTGAAATCTAATGCTTCATAGGTGAAGAAATCAGTCCTTGGCATTTTGAAAAATTTTTTTTGCTACCACCCTGGAATTATGGCCACACCTGGAAAAGATAATACCATTATGCTGGCCCATGCTAATTACTGTCCACAAAATAGCCATTTTGTGGTAGAGGAAATTGAGGCCCAGAGAGATGAAGTATAGTATTCTTGCAAGTGACCAAAATCTCAGTTTAAACCAGCTTAAATAAACAAAGAAATTTATTGGCTCAGATCCAGGGGTGCTTTTTGGCTTCAGGCACAGTTTGATCCAGAGGCTCAGAAAATGTCATTAAGGCACAGTGTCTGTACTTTTCTGTTTGTTCTGCTTTTCTTCATGCATTTGTTGACTTCATTCAGACTGGCTCAGATTCATGAAAGCAAGATGGCTACATCAGCTCCAAGCCTCACATACTCATGCCTTTAAATCTAGTGAACAGATACCAAACTTTTCTCTCACAGAAGCCCTTTTACAGGTATCAAGTCTTCTCATTGCTCCAATCAGGTCCTGTTCTTAGCCCTGATCCATCACTGTGGCCAGAGGGTTAGGATGTGCCAATTGGATTGAGACAGTAGAGCTTACTCGAGAACTGGAAGAAGTGTCAGTCCCACATAAACATTAGGATTTCATAATAGAAGAGGGGTGTATCCACAAGTGAAAAACAGTGCGGTCACCTGAGAAGAGATGCTGGAGAGGGGAATAAACAATAACCATGGGAAGAAGGGACCTGTTTGAGGTCACCCAGCTTGTCAGCATCAAATCTAGAGCTCAGGTATTCACCCCATCTTACTTTCTTCAAACCCTACTGACTCCTGAAAGCTTTGTTTCCACCAGTGTTCCTAGAGACTTCAGGTGGTCAGAGGCCAGGAATGGGTTAATAAGAAAAGTAGTAGTACTAAAAAAAACATTAGAGAAGTCACAAGTCCTTCAGAATCTTCCTCTGGTCCAGGGTCACAAATTGGCCAAAGTTGTCTCCAGAGTAACAAAAGGAAAGGCACTGCCCCAAGTGGGCAGGCAGGAAAACAAGCTGGTCAGAAAAGCTGCTGCTGACCACTGCCCCAGCCCACACTCCCTCAGCCTGGAAGAAGTCAGACCATAAGCAGCCAGGGAACTTTCAAGACCTGCAAAGAGCCGGTTAGGACCAGTCCGCAGTGGTTTCTACACGCATCTCCAGTTCATTATTCACTGTCAAGTTATTCCATGTGACTTTATCACTCTTTTCTCTCTGTCTTTTCCAGCCTCAAAAAGTTTTGCTGCTTCTGGTTATTTTTAGCTCAGTATGGCCCTTGGGGATCATCAAATCCAACTCTCTGGTTTTGCAGAAGAGAGAAATGAGACTCAGTGTTTCTAAGTGAGTTATTAAGGCCACACACTTCCTATCAGAGTTGGTCACCCTACTTGGGTCTCCGGGCTTCCAGCCCATGGATTCCATGGCACCTGGCTGCTTCCAACCACCTGTTTGTGGTCTCCGCAAGGTGACCAGCTGGGCTGTGCCTTATTAAAGAGCCAAATGTGGTCCCAGCACTGACAGACACAGGTCATTTTTATCTTAGAAACAGGGTGGATTCCCAAGGAAGATTTGCAAGTCGATTTTTCAGAGTTTAGGAACAGTTCCCATAGAAAAAATGTTTTGTTTTATTAGGTTCTCAGTCTCACAAAGCCCACTGGACCTGAGATACCATAGACCAATAGTGAAAATTAGTTAATTCCTGTTTCTACTCTTAAGGGGTGGATACTAAACTTCACTTTGGGACTTCTTTACAGGAAAGCTTTAGGGGCCTCCACAGGATGCTTTTCTTTGGCATTTTGTTTGCAGCCTGGGGCCCACTTAATTTCTTTGCTCTTGAATGATGGCTTCTTTTTTTTCAGGGCTGGCGTCAAGGGTTTGCACTCTGTGTAGTTAGTTGTCCCCGGACCCACACTCAGCATGTCCTGTGTTTAGTTTAATGCTCTGTTGTGGCTATCTTGAAATTCTTAATAATTTTATCTTTGAACTTGTGTTTTGTAAGTAAAGTCCAGTGGGACAATGGAACATTCATGTGAGCAGAGGAGATGCATATGTAATATACGTGTCCACTGCTGTTCCTCACAGACCCATTTGCATACAGCATTCACGATGTCCCATGAACATGGAATTCAGCTGCACCCATGATGCATGGAAGTTCAGTGAAACTCACGTGAGTACCAGGCAAGTGTGTTATAGGTACCACTGAGAGGCCATGCTTCTGTTCAAGTCAGAACTTGCTCTGAAAACAGAAGGAAGACAGTAGCATCCTAAGAAACACGAGTGACCAAGGGTCCCCCCATCATATCCTTTCTTATTCATGTTACTTCTGTGTATTAGACAATACTTAGGCTGAAAATTAGGACACAGGAAGAAAGTATGTTTCTTTCCTATAGTTCCTTTCTTTTCAGTCCTTCCTTATAGGTAAGGTGAAGGTAGGCAGTGTTGGTAGAATGTACAGGTAACAAGAAGTGAAATAAAAGTTGAGTTAGTACTTTTGTAGCATTTCCATTGTTCTGGTAAGAAGGAAATACATATACATGTGTGAACTACAAAATACGTATTCAGCATATGAATTTTGGGGGACACAGTTCAGCCCGTTACAAGGGCTTTTACACTCTTTTTTTTTTTTTTTTTGGCGGTACGCAGGCCTCTCACTGTTGTGGCCTCTCCCATTGCGGAGCAGAGTCTCCGGACGCGCAGGCCCAGCGGCCATGGCTCATGGGCCCAGCCGCTTCGCGGTATGTGGAATCTTCCTGGACCGGGGCACGAACCCGTGTCCCCTGCATCAGCAGGCGAACTCTCAACCACTGTGCCACCAGGGAAGCCCTACACTATTTCTTTTTATAATAGCCTTGAGGGAGCAGCCAGTACACTTATTTTGTAAATCCATTCATTCACTAATTCAACAAATACTTACTGGGGACTTACCAATTGCCAAGCACCAGCTAGCTGCTAATGATATAATGACCAAGAAGACAGGCAGGTTCCTGCTCTTGTGGAAATTAGGCTCTAGTGGGAGACAGGCAAAAAACAATTAAGCAAATAAAACAATTACAGACAGTGGTAAGTACAAGTAAGATCCTGCACACAGTGCAGTGATAGAAAATAAAGTGGGTTAGATTTTTGATAGGGTCATCAGGGAGGGCCTCTCTGAGAAGGTGACAGTTAACCAGGTTTAAGCACTGAGGATTCCTTAATGCAAATGAGCTCAGTAGAAGAAAGAGTCAGCAGGGGAAACAGCGAGTGTTCCCATAGGTGGGAAAGAGCTTAATATGTTCTAGGTATTGACAAAATGCCAGTGTGTGGGAGCATAGTGTGTGATGTGGTGGTGCAGTGAGATGGCAGGAGCAGGAAGAGGCAGGGCTCTGGCGGCCTTGGTTTAGGGCTTTAGGATTGATTCTGAATGCAGTGGGAAGTCACAGAAGGGTTGCTGGCAGGACAGTGGCCTGGTCTGCCCTGCAGTGTAGAGGATGACTTGGTGGTGGGCAGGAGTGGGAGGTAGAGAAACTGAGTCCCGGAGGTGTTCAGTGACTGCCATTCACACCACTTCTAAAAGGCAGGGCCGGGCAGGTAGACACTGAAAGCTGGGACGTGCTTTCATGGAGGATACATGGAGGAGGGTGCCCTCTGCTGTTCCAAGTATTCTTTAACCCTCCTTTGAAGGCAGGTCTTCTAGGAAGTGAAGAAAGGAACCTCCCAGCTCTTGATTGTGAAATTCTCCAATCACATTTCCAAAATAGACATATCAACATTTTGAAGTGAAGAAAAAGAGGGGGTGAAGACCTTACCAACCAGAATGTGCAACCTTTTCAGTAAAGCTGGGTTGGAAATGGAATAAGCTGGCCCTTTTATTTTTAGGAGTAATTAGTCATGTTACTTTTTTTTTAAATTGTACATGCTCATTACAAAAAAAAATCAGGCAATACACAAGCATAAAAAAGCAGAAAATTACTCCAGATCTTACCACTCAGATGTAACAAGTAATAACATTCAATGAACATTATTTTAGTCATGTGCATGCATATAGATATACAGGTTGGATAAAAATGTCCTCTATAAAGATCCCTCTACAGTTAAAACAATTAATATAGCAATTTGAAAGACACAGTCATTTTTTTGTTACATATTTAAATTGTAGTTATATGGATATATTTATGGATATATTTATATAGATATATTATATAGATATAATATATATAGATATAAATATATATATCTATATATTTATATAGATACATTTATATAGATATATTTGCAAACATTTTTTTGCAAAGGGTCACAACCATTCTGCTCTGACATTATAGCAAGAAAGTGGTCAGAGACAATACTTAGTGACTGAGCATGACAGTGCTCCAATAAATCTTTATTTACAAAAGCAGGTGGTGGGCTGGGTTTGGCCCGAGGCTGTAGTTGGCTAAACCCCTACTACTAAAGAGAATTACTGTGCTTATTTTCCTTCCACCTCACTATTCCAGATTTTGCTTATAATATTTTCACTTTGTTAAGGCTCTGATATGTATATTCTTTTATGCTTCCTTCATGTCCACACACGATTAGCTTTAGCTGTGAAATTAAGTAAACTTGATGTTTACCTTAGTCCATTTGGACTGTTAAAACAAAAACACCCAAAGCTGGCTTACAAACGACAAGTATTTATTTCTAAGCGTTCTGGAGGCTATGAAGTTCAAGATGCTGACCTCAGTAGATTTGGTGTCTAATGAGGGCCCACTTCCTAGATGGTCATCTTTTTGCTGTATCCACACATAGTGGAAGGGGTAAGGGATCCCTCTGGGCTCTCTTTTATAAGGGCATTAATCCCATTCATGAGAGCACCACCCTCATGGCCTAATCACCTCCCAAAGGCCTTACCTTCTGATACCATCACCTTGGGCATTAGGATTTCAACATATGAATTTTGGGTGGACAAAAGTATTCAGACTATAGCAGCATTTCACAGTACTTCTCTTTTTCATCGTTTTTTCACTCATGAGTTCTTTATTTTATTTTTATTTATTTTTTTAAAACCCATGAAATATTAAGGGATAAATTTAATAAACTATACAATACACACAATGAATATCACAAAACATTGCTAAGTGAAATCAATCCTTAAATAACTGAAAGAATATAGCATGTTTGAGATTTAGAATACCCAATGTCTTTTTTTTTTGAATTTTATTTTATTTATTTTTTTATACAGCAGGTTCTTATTAGTCATGTATTTTATACACATCAGTGTATACATGTCAATCCCAATCTCCCAATTCATCACACCACCACCCCAACCCCCTGCCGCTTTCCCCCCTTGGTGTCCATACGTTTGTTCTTTATTATTGAGTTCTTTATTATTATGAGTTCTCTATTATTGTTCGACTCTTGTTCAGCTGGGATTACAGTTGATTCTTGAACAATGTGGAGGTAAGGGGCACTGACCCCTGTGCAGTTGAAAATCCTTGTATAACTTTTGACTCCCCCCAGACTTAACTACTAGTAGCCTACTGTTGACTGGAAGACTTACTGGTAATATAAATAGTTGATTAACACGTTTTGTATGTCATATGTATTATATACTATATATTCTTACAATAAAGTAAGCTAGAGAAAAGAAAATGTTATTAAGAAAATCGTAAGGAAGAGAAAATACATTTACTGTACTGTACTGTATTTATCAGTACTGTATTTACCATAAGTTTACATTATCTGAATTGTCTGTCAGTACCTACATTAATATTGTCTTATATGATACAAAACACTGTAGATGTTATACGTAATACTAAGACTAGACATCAAAAATGAAAAGATAATATGCAAAAGCAATTCATATTTATTTACAAGTATAACAATTCGTGCATTGATAACAAAGAAGTAGCAATATAATTGCTTTATGGTAGCCTAGCTTATACACTAATTTATAATGTTGTTATAAAATTTTTATGGCATACAGTATTCCAGTCATATGCATAATACAGTATTGGAAACATTGTTAACCTTTTTTTAAAAAAACACTTACCTGGGATGGTAGACCAATACGCAGTTTCTCCACTTATGGGAGAAAGAGGGGCAAACTATACAGTAATGTAATTCTTTGAAAGCAAAGTTATAAAACAGTAAGAAAACTAACATACTATTAATTTTATATTAAATATCCCTATATAAGGATAGACTAGTATCTACATATATTTTATGCATTCATGACATAACATTTCTTAATTGTTTTGATATTTCTAGAATACACAGTTTGTGACTTTTTTTTCAGATTTCCACAAAATTTTCCGATGTATTTATTGAAAAAAATCTGCGTGTTAAGTGAACCCCTGTGGTTCAAACTTGTATTGTTTAAGGGTCAACTGTATTTGTCAAATAGCTTTGCTTAGTTTGTTTTGTTTTAAAACGAGTTCATGGGTATTATATTTCCTGAACTCTTTCATATCAGAAATTATCTGTCTTTTATTTCCATACTTGGTAACACCCTGACTTGGTCTAATATTCTTGGGCACACTGCTCTCAGAAGTTTGTAGTCATTGCTCCACTGTCTCTGGGCATTGGAGTTGAAATGGAGGAGCCTTGAAACCCACCTGACTTCTTCCCCTCATGTGGCTGACTTGCCTTTATCTCCCTGAATGTCTGAAAGATTTTTTTCCCTTAACATTGAATAGTTTAACCAGGAAAGATCTCAATTTTGATCATTCTCTATCAAATTTTCTTAACCGAAGGTGTGCCCTTCTTATCTGTGAATACAGTTTTTCCTTTCAGGAAATTCTTCCTAGGTTATGTCTTTGAATTCATTTTTGTTTTTCTTTATACTCTAAGGATGTAATGTCTCCATGTTGGATGATTTTTTCTCTATATATCTTCTTTCATCTGTTCTTTAATCACACTGTCTTTTCACTCTGCAGTTTCGATGATTATCCCCAGCCGCTTCTCTGTGATGTTTTCAACCCCACTTTTCTCTCTTTTGCCATTTATAACTTATTAAATCCGGAACAACGTTGTTTCATTTCTCTGTTTTTTTCTTAGCTCTACAATCACTTCTTTCATCTTAGTCAATTGTTTTATGATTATTCTTTGAGGTCTTGTCTTATTGAATTTGTATCTTAATGAATTCTTCTCTATAATGAAGCATTGAAAGGGAATCAGCATTTCTCCTT